GGGGGGGGGCGGCTGGAGGAACGAGCAGGGCAACGTTGTGTCCTGCCTCGGGTTTCATTTGCACCGCAAGCCGGTGCCTTTCTGCTGCAAGCAAAGAGGTATGACTCAAATATGTCTCTGCTTTCCTACCCGCATCTCCTCTCGTTCTGTTAATGAAAGGGGACGGCATCATACAGACTCGCGAGGCGTTTTCATATAACCCCTGCTGAAGGCTTAGTCAGATCCTCCGGGCTGCAAAATACCATTTGCATTGTGGGGGCAGAGTAACGGGGAAAAGGGGATCTTGGGCCATCTGTGTTTCGCAGAAGTCCCGTGGTGCGAACCTTGCCCTGGGAGCAGCAGAGATGGACCAAAGCAGAGCAGCCAGCCCCCACTGCCCTGCTCCCCTCCCAGGCTTTCCCAGACACAAGACCCCACCTCGACCCCACAAACTAGAACGGCAGTCCCTGGGCAACCCACCTGTGGGGCCCATCACCTATGCAGAGGCTGCCGGGGGCTCAAATTCCATCACTGCAGCTTCCAGGGAGGTCTCTAGAAAAGGCTGATTTTCCGGAGCTGCACCTCGTCTGCACACTCCTTGCTGGCAGGACACTGTGCCAAATACAGGGTGCCACAGTCACGCAATTAATTCTCCCTGACTCCAGTGTACCCTGTGATTTTCCAGTACCCCAGCTGATCTGGAAATTGAGTGAGTCTCCTAACTGAAAAGAAGATAGAGGTACAGGGTCTATGCAGCTCATTGATGACATATCTCCACTAAACAGCCTGGTTAAACTAATAACACGATGTAGTGCGTGCTGCCACCTACGTCTTCTGATTCAGGTTTCTTGTGTACTGCAGCTTCGGATTCGTACTCATCCTCTGAAGGCAGCCGGCAGCGTGTGGGACTCCACCATGGACCACAAGATCCAGTGGCTCTGGCCACGCTAGGGAACAAAACAAAACACTCCTCACCGGCGCAGCCACTTGTTCAGCTGCAGTTGAAGATGCCTCGGTGCAGATTTAAACCCGGCAGAAATGGAACCGGTGAAATGGAAGTAGCGGCTGGAGCCTCATCTGTGCGAAGGATCCTGCCAGCACAGCTGTACCACTGACAGCAGTGGAATATTTTGCTCAAGTTCTCTAGAGGAATCAAAGCCTGTATTTTCTGTCTCTGGCTCTCCCTTGTTCTGTTGCTCCTCGCTCATTAAAAGAAAAGTCAGCCACACAAAGCACATGGTTGGTCTCTGTGTTTAGGAAAAAAAAAAAAGTTTTGGGGAAAAAACCAACAGCCAAAGCTGTTTTGAAGTCAGAGGCATGTAAACAGTACCTGGAACTAAGTGGAATAATAATCATAATAATAATAATTAGTCCTTTTGTGTCATAAATATCGCTGTCTGCTGTTTCATTATGAGACAGCACAACTTCTGAGAATGTGCCCGATGAATATTTGGGGGAACTCTGCCTCCAGCTGCAGCAGCGTAGGGCAGCACTAATGCCTCTGGCTCCTCTGGCTTGCTTATGTAACTGAAATCACAAATTAGAGCCCAAATTACAAAGCATAAGCATGTGTACAATATTAAGCATATAAATGGTGCCTGAAATTACTATCGTTTTCCTTTAGGTCTGGCTTTCATCTATTTGTCTTTTTACTTCTGCAGTTCTACTGATTTCAATGGGTGCTGGTGCCATGCATAGGATAACCAAGCCTAACCCAAACTTAACTAAGACAGACCAAAATCACTCTGGTTACAGGTAGGTGTAGTTTAAATGACTCGTATACCAGATCTTGGGTGTATCCAGCATTATGATGCTATAGAAAGCAGAACATAATGTCCCTGTGGCTGCTTTGCCAGGCAGAGCAGCAGGCTTTGGCACCCCAGCCCAATCCCCTTCCTTTGTGTTTTCTCTCTTTCTTAGAGACTATTTTTGCCATTAACATGCTGAGCTGCTTTCTGGAGTTTTAAGGTGTTGCGTGCTGATACAGTGAGCACCTCTTGTATCTGTTTAATCCAATAACAACTCTTGTTTAATCTCCACGTCTGGGTCACAGGGTTTAAAAAAGACACTGGGCCAAATCCCCAGCTTGGCTACAACGTGTGGAAATCTACCAAGAAGACACAAAAGTCAGAAGAGATTCGCTGTATTTGCACTGTGTAAAAGAGCTCTCAAGGGGCAGGGATGCGAGTGCCTCATTTTGCAGATGGATGCATATTAACACAAGTGTATGGCAGAGTCAGATCACATTTCTGTCAGGTGAGGTGGATGGAGAGAGGGATATCACACCAAGGTCTGAAATATGCTCATCAGCAATTCTCATTCATTTTGAAATCAACATGGATTTAATATTTCTTGCTTTTTCAGGAAAAAACCCCAACTCTTTTCTTTTCCCATGTCTGGCTGCTAAAAGGAATATGATGTTTCACAGACTCAAGACCAAGGCAGGGCAAGAACAAGGAGAAGGTTTTGCAGGGACTGGAAAGATTTTACATGTAAACATTAAAATTTAAAAAGCAAAATTTATCCAGGCACAAAGTCCAGCAGAAATCTAGGGGACAAAGTAAACAGTACTGTCTGTAAAGAAGGGTATAAACAGGAATGGTGAAAAGATGGTCTGAATAAGTCAATCACATCAACAACTCTCCAAACACAATTTTCTATGCAAAACTATATGGGGGCAATCTTCATGGTTCCCCTCTAAGGCAAAGGATCCTGAGCATGAAAAAGGGAGGCAGATTTTGTGAGGGATTTGCACATCATGCAGTGACTCTGGATTGCAGATTTTAAGCATTACTAAACCCGGGAATAGAATTGTTGCTATTGCTATTACATACCAGGATATCTCACTAATCCACTCAATCCACTAAGTTGGTGTAGTTTTAGTCTGTGTTTATTTTAGACGAAATTATGGCCCGGACAGTTAATTTTTCTTAGTTTATCCATTTAATTCATTTATAAATAAGATATCAAACAGAAATCAAAACATGACCTGTGTTTTTGGTACACTCTCCATCATGTGAACCTGCTGGTTTACAAGTCAAACACAAAGACAACTAAAACCCACAGGTCTTCTTGAAAAGTAGCCCCACAGTCTTTAAATTCTATGATCAATGTGATTTTAATGCTACAGGTGGCCTATTTTACTTGTATTCGAGACTGCCTAGCCATTATGGGATTGACTCCACTGGTCCTCTTCTTACTTCAAGTTAATTACATATTAATGTGAAGCATGTCTGAAAGGCTGGACCTGGCCCTTTCTGGACAGCAGTTGAGTTTAGAAATGCCTGTTCCTTGACAGGAGCTGATTCCTAAAGTGAGGGGCAAATTCAGAGGAGCTAAACAGTCTGGAACCAAAGTGGTCACGCTGGCTTTTGGAAGAAGTGGAGCGTCTCAAGTTAATTGATGCTCAGCTACCTGGAAATAAAAAACTCTCATATAGCCCAAGGTTTTCACCATGATTTTCAAGAGCTCCTGAGCAACTTGAAGTCCTTGAAAGGAATCCACTATAGAATGACAAATATAGGTATTATTAAAGAATATCTCCAAACTGAAAGCCAGCCAGTTTCATAAAAATGAGCTAAAACCCAATAACAGATACTCTGTCTTCTGCTGGATGCTGTATGAACCGTATGTTTTGCATTTTTGAAGTCACTTCTAAAACAATGTTTTTTTTTCTTCACTATTGCTATTGGGAAGAACAGTAAAAGAACTGTGCATAAATGAGGTTAAAGTAATCTAATTAAAAAAAAAAACCAACCCCAAAACAAAACCCAAACACATGCTTTCATCTTCAATTCATATCCAGTCACTTGGGATCGAACTTTGAAAAAAACATAAAAATTCAGAAGGGATTTTGAAGGACGACTGTTTCCCTTTAAGATTAATGATAAACACACTTGTGCGTTCAAGGGAGAATAGATCCAGTGTTATGTAACAGGATAAAGAAACAAAATCCTTTTTCCTTAAATTAAAATAACCAGTATGTGTGTGGATTTTAGTCAATCACTGAAAATTCAGGAAACCCATTTTCTTTCACAATTGCATTCCACATGCTAAAATTGTTGTCTTGTAGCTTTTAAACAGAATCACAATTAAAAACAAAAAAGATTTGTTTGTTCTGTTTGACTATGCTTTGCCAATAGAGGATTGTTCCCCAAAGAAAATTCTGCAGCACTTGCCCTGTGCAAAAATCCAAATTTGTGCTCATCTTTTTATTCTATGCGGCATTAGTAAATCCAGTTATTGAAGTTCCCAGTTTTTAATCCGCTTACCTAGTACTAGATGTATGGTAACTTATCTCTTTTAATCATTTTTTGCCTGAACTATTACATAACAGTTCTTATCAAATCTTGCAATGCCTGCCTAAATTTGCCAAAAATGGGACAAAATCAACAAGTATTGGATTTTTTAAAATGTTGGCATTGTTCCTTGCTGGCTCAATCATATAAAATTTGAAAAAAACCTCAAACCCAAATACAAAAGGAAATAATTTTCTACCATATAACCTGCATTTTCCACTTCTGTATTTCACAAAAAAACTCATACCAGAATTTCTGCATCAGAATTTGATACATAAAGTTCCTTTTTATCACATGAATTCAATTTTCCAAAAGAAGGCAAATGATACTATTAATAACCAAGATACAAGCCCTGAAAAGGCTAAGTCTCTGAATGTACTTGTTGAAAAAAAAAAAAAAAGCCATCTTGTTGGATCTAATTCTGGAGTTGTTGTTCGATACAATGCAGAACAGTTTGAGATTTGCACAGAAAGGCACTGCTGAGTTAAGGTGATAGTCACTCTTGCATGAAAGAAGCACGTATGTGTTTTGCTGAGCTACTCGGAGCTTTGTCTGTAGAGCAAAGTAAATCCTGCTTATGTTGGCATGTCCTTGCACACGTCCACACTTAATGTTTTCAGTCCTGAAAGTAAAGCTTCAAGTCTGGGCAGTTTAAGTGTCGTTCCCTCAGTGGAGTAAATCTTCTGTTAGGGCTACTCCAGTAGCACAAGGTGTGCTTGGAGACAATGCACCGTCTGAACATGCCTCTTTCCCTGCTAACAGCATACCCACCGTGCTGCAGCTAAATATTCTGCTGCTGCATGGCCTGCAGAGAGGTTTCCTTGGCTTCATGAGCAGGACAGTTCCTGCAAAGCCCAGATGGGCACCACAAAGGTGACATGAACGCTGGGAAACCGTAGGAAATGTAGGCTAGCAGTTAGGGAAGAAGTTGTGGCAGACTCACGGAAAGCAATAAAAGGCCAGTGGGGTGCTGTGCAGAACCACTTCCATTTATACTTGGAGCTGGTCACCAGGCTGGGCAGGCTTGGCCTGATCGTATCTCAGGTGACAGCGGGCAGCACAGTGGAAAATAGTCCAGAAATTTATGGTGGTGAGCTCACTGATGCAGTCGAGCCCTCTCGACTTACGTGACTGATCCAAGCAAGCCAATGGATTAAACTCACTGAACAGGAAGAAGAGTGATCACTCGAGTGAATTCATACATGCTCATATTTCTTTTTATTTGCTTATGGGTCCCCTGTGCTCCCTTCCTTCTCAATGAGATGGCAAAACACTTATGAAGAATGTGTAAAAAATCACTTTAAGGTACCTAGTTTATTCTGACAAATTATATTGGCAGGTATAGGCAAACAGAGAAAATACTGGAAGAAACAAAACCATTCCCAAATGCATGCTTTTACCAGTTCAAGCAGATAGAATTTCCAGCTAGGTGAATTAATGCACTGCAAGCAGAGAGAGAAAGGGCATCAAATGCTTGAATGTCCAGAAAAAACAGAAAATTTCAAATAAACCCTGCAAGCTATCCAGTAACTGCTTATCCAGTTACATGATTTTAATTAACAGAACTGGAAAGCAAACATGTAATATAAACTTAAAAGCACAGCGCTTCGGTTTTCCGGACTACCGATCCAAATGCAAAACAAACCGCTTGCATCTGGTGGCAGGAGAGGCAGAGGAGGCTTTGGGAGCTTTTCACCGCTGGAGCGACGTAGCAGCATCCACTGTACTACCCACTTACGGCGGCTCAGACAGCTCTTGGCACGTCCGTGCCCGCTGCCCTTTGGCCCAGCCTGGGCACAAACCCTTCCCGCATTGCCCGCATACTCTGAGGAGGATGCCTCGGCTTTCACCTCCGTGGCAGCACGTCGCTGCGTAGGGCAGCAATGTCACTGAGGGCAGGCCAGCGGCTTGCAGGCTTGGGTGACCTTGAGCCTCCCTAAGCAGTTACCTTTTCTGGGCCTTTGGCACACTCTCAAGTGATCTTTCAGCCAGAATCTCCGCTGCCTAAAATAAATTCAGCAATATTCACTGCGGCATCCCTGCACTTTTCTTTCGGGATTCCTGACTCTTCTCTTCCAACCTGGGCAGATACAGGTTTTGGAAAGTTTACCCGGATGCTTCTGGGGCAGTGAGCTCCTGACCTGTCCCAAGGCCGGGGTATCTCACTTGGTGTTTTTATGAGGAAAGGTAGAATTCTAGGGAGTTTAGTGGAGCTTGTACCTATATGTTAATGGTGTGCCTATCTGCCATGTTGTTTAGAGACAGCTTTGACAACGATATCTTTACAAGGCGTTTCCTCCCCACCTCCTGAAAGACTGACCCATTTAGGAAGAAGAGAAGCTGGCGCAAGGGGCATTTCTTTGACATTTTCCAAGCCTTTGGCATGTGGCAGAAGAGGCTGGTGGCAAAGGATGGAGCTGTGAGGCTGCACACCCCTGGGAGCCACACAGCTCCAGAGCTAAGGAGGCAAAAATGCCCCAAACCCCATGAGTTGGCAGCGTGACCCTGCCTGGGCAGGCAGCAACACATGTACACCTTGTGTTCCCAGTCTTCATCTTAAAGGCCCAGAATATCTTCATCGAGTCTCTCCTTTGTATAAACCCAGACAGCAATAAGATGACTTGACAGGACTGATGGACACAACCCCAGGATTCAGGAGCAGTTTGTGTTTGGCTCCTTATTGGTTTTAGAAGTACCTTTCTTTCTGAAAGCTGTGAGTTATTTAGTGTTCCTTAGGGGGAAAAAAAAAAAAAAAGTCTCATCTTCCCTTCACATGAAATTAATACAATTTGCTAACAGTTTACTTAAAATGTCCAGCTAAGCAGAGTAGCATTCAATCACCAAGCTGCATTGATGTACAGCAATACACAACAGGAGCTTGTAAGGTCTGTCTCAAGCTACTCAGGACTCTCTCAATTACCTCGGGCTTAGGTTTATGAGGTGTGCAGGAGCCCCTCTGCCATACTTGGCCCTGCAGCTACTATGTCAAACACAACACAAACCAGCAATGATGGGGGTGTTTGCCCCACTGAGATCCACCAGCACAAGAGATTGCGCCAGGATTCTTCCAGTCTGGCAATTATGCATTCAGATAGGACTGTCCCTGTCACGGGCGTGTTTTCCCTGCCAGGTACCCACCATTGTGCCATGAATCAAGAAAGCGGAGCACCAGCCGGGTCCAGGTGGCCTTACCCTGCCCACCGGGCAATACCAACCCAGCCTTGCATCGCTGCAGAGAGCAGCTGCTACCTGTCTCTCCCAGCCAGAGCAATCCCAATTTGTTGTCTCTACATGGGAAAGGGAGGGGGTGGAATAGGCTTAGTGTGAAGCACCACAAATCCAGATTTGTGCCTCTAAAGCTCTTTGGCCAGTGCTAGTCAGCTCTGATTTGTATCAAAGCCCAATCTTATCACTTGATGATTGTTAAACGGGCCACAAAGGGTCAATATTTTGTGCACAGTTGGTCACAGGCTGCCTGTAGCACAGCATTTTTTTCTTACTGTCTCAGTCAAAGACCTGAAGTTTTCTTATTTTTACTCCTGCATGTTCGCCTGTTGGGCTCCTTAAGTTCATGGAGAGAAGTGTGAAAACTTGCCCCCAAGCTCCCACATTTCCTTGGGAAGCACATCCCAGCCACATCCCAGGGGAGCAGATTTGGGATGCCCTCAGCGCTCACAAAGACACTCTTAGTCTGTGTTTCCCCACAGCAAATGCCAGCGGGGGGGGCACATGGGTGGCATGGCTGGGGAGGAGCTGGCAGAGGAGCTGTGTGGCCAGGCTGGGTTGTAGCAGCTACCGGGCATCATCCGGAGCAGAGAGGCCCTGGGACTGCCTGAGACAGCGCTGATTAAATCACTGAGCAGAGGCACAGAGTGGAGGGTGTGGTGGACCCCTGGGAACTTTTCCATCCAATTCCTCCGGTGCGGTGTTTACAGAGGCACATCCAGTGGCCTGCTGGAGCTCCAGGCACAGGCACCATCTCCAGCCGAAGCAGCGGACGCTGCCACGTGCCCACTCCACCTGGCTTAAGCTCAGTTTCCCCTCAAGCTGAATTCAAGCCACCCCAGAGCTCTTGGAGTCTTTGGAAATGCTGCTGCCTGAATTTCACTTCTCGACTGGGACAGTGAGCTCCCCAGTTCTCCCAGTAAGATACAGGTTCAAATCCAGTTCATATTTCTGCTGTTCTCCACCAGCATCACAGCTGTTTGGTCCAAACATGAAGATATTTTTGTAAGAGCAAAAGCATGAATTATTTCAAACTTGCCTCAGGATGAATATTCAAGGGTACTGCGGAGACTGTTTCCACAACAAAACAGGAGCTATTCTCCTGCTGAATTGTTCATGTTACTTTCATGAATGCTAGAAAAGAAGCTGGCTTTTTTAAAATGTCAGCAGATACCTGGAATGGGAATTTGTTTCAGTTAAGTCCTTTGGAAGCTATTGTTGTTGTTGATGTTGTCTAACCTGACTGAAAG